CCATTCTGTTCTGGAAGGTCATCTGGGATGTGGCCTGCAACTGCTCGGCCAGGCCCTGGAGGGCATCCCTGGTGTAGTTGACAAAACGCTGTTGGTTGTAATAAATGTAGTTAATCCAATTAAGATTTTTGTTGGCAGTGACTATGGTAAAAAGTGATTCAAAACCTACAGCTACTTCATCTCTAGCTTTAAATTCATTAGGCACCCCCCTAGGTACCCCAACGGCATCTATGTAAATGTGAGGGTCAAAACTGCCTTTTACTGGGGTTTCGCGCCTCACTCTGGCTGGTGTATGTGGAGGGTCGTATGTGTCATGATGATTATCAGAAATAATATGAATGGGCATGATAACTTTGGCTAGAGTACACTCACCCCACCACTCAGTTTCCAGCCTAGATCTTAACTGTAGATCCCCACATAACCAGTAAATATCCCCCAATGACCTGGTATGGTGTTGCAACAGGCGTATAGGAACAGTTCTGTAGGTGGCACAATAGCCATTGGAAAAGTTACCCATGAATTTACCAATCCCGTTATAAATAGCATAACAAGTGTAATTACCCTTGTAAATCGTGATTCCATCTGGGGGTTTGACATTTCCAATTAAGAGGGGGTACTCTGCCGCCCATGATTCGCAGAGGGATCTGTTGAAATTATAGCGGTAGGCAAAAAGACTGAGGAAGCAAGTCTCTATCTCCAAAGGGAGAGTTAGAGGAGCGGTGCCAAGATGAGGTCGAGCACCACCGCACACATAGCATGCGGTTTTGTTATGTTTATTAGCATTATATTTCATCCACTCTAACCATAGATTGATATCATTGTAACCAGTTTCAGTGGCCATGGTGTCTTCGAAGGTGGGGTTAGCAATGGCCATCATGTCCTAAAAAGACTGGATATGTGGTTTTAGTGGATTCGGGACCATATGAACAGCCCCTTGCCACTCTGGAGAGTGGCACATATCTTTAAGATAGAAATGACCTAATTTGTTATAGGAACCACTTTTCCAATACATTCCCATTACATATTGGTCAGCATCCTTTGGACCAGGGAGCTCAATGTTTAACATTAATTTCATGGGCAGACCTCCTCCTGGCTTTCTTAAAGTCATTCTTTGAAGGAGGGATCTGCCATGGTCATCTACTTTAGATAAGGCACTTTTGGGCTTGTAACCCCAGGCAGGCCCAGTATTCCATCCTGCAGCCCCCAATGGTCACAGTTGTGTCCCCATTGCTCGTCAACTACACAAACATAGGGGTCCTTTGCGTGTGGTATATCTTTGTAAATGGTTTGAATCTGTGACTTGGGAAATGGACAATCTACTATGTCACAGTAATCAAAGGTGAATGTAGCTACGCGGGTGCATGATGAGTTATACCAGAATGTGTACCCACTAGCATCTTTGGTAATGGCCACTTGTTGGGCCTCAAGGAAACTAATCAAAGGGATGATGTACCAGAGGTACATGGTTGTGAGGAGTCTGCTTCCTCTGGGACAGGAACCTTTTTGCAATGGGAGGCGTGTATCCAGTTGCTTTTCCCAGTCAACTTGACGGAGGTGGAGGTGATCAGTAGAACTTGGAATGGTCCGTCAAATCTTGGTTCCAGGGTGTGTTTCCGCACAAATTTCTTGACTAGGACCCAATCACCAGGAAGCAGACTGTGGTTGCCCGTATCAGAATCAGGAATCAGGATCTGGAATTGAAGAGAAAACTTGGGCATGGATTTTGTTTAAAGCATTTGCGAGTTCAGTTACATAATCTACTAAAACATCAGTGTGTAGCCTAGGTGCAGTCCCAAATAGAATCTCATATGGGGACAGTAAGGTAGTATTTTTGTACAAGAGCATTCATTAGATCCTTTGATAAATGTGCAGGTCCGTGTGCCCATTGTACGACTGCTGGGTACAAATTCTTAGAGAGGCAGAACTTGAGGTTGTTGGAGTACACTCCATCCTTCAGAACTGCCCCTTTCTGTTTCCATCTTTGTATTTCTTCAGGAGCAACTGCAGCCTGTTGTTCCCGTAGGATTTTTAGATCAGTTGGAAGTGTCTGCAAGGTAAATGTGGGAGTTTCTTCGTTTCCGGACACACTTCTGTCCACTTCCTGTAGTTCTCTTGCAGCTTGTTTTGCAACTTGATCAGCCAGATGGTTGCCCCTTGCTTCATCCGAATCCAACTTCCCATGTGCCTTTACCTTCAGAATGGCCACTTCTTCTGGGGGTAGGAGGGCATCCATCAGCTCCTTGATTGCAGAACTGTGCTTGACTGGTGTACCGGCAGTGGTAAGAAATCCTCTTGTTTTCCAAATTAATCCGAAGTCATGAGCCACGCCCAGTGCATATCTTGAATCTGTGTAGATATTGGCGCGCTTTTCTTCCGATATCTTGCATGCTGAAGTTAGGGCTTGTAATTCAGCTTCCTGCGCAGACATTGTTGACGGTAGAGATGATGATTTGATAATTTCATCTGTTGTGGTGACGGCATATCCTGTGTGATATTTTCCTTCTTCATCAGCATACCTTGAGCCGTCCACAAACAGGGTGAGGTCAGGATCTATTAGTGGATCCTCATGCACGGTTGGCAAATGTGTTGTTTCCATTTTCATCTGTTCAAAACAGTTATGGGCGTTTCTGGATCATAGTCGTGCTTTATGACCAGATCTTCAAATTCTTCTTCCAGAGAGTACCGTGGCCATGCTTTTACATGTTCAGTTGTTGGGTACTTGACAACGCCTTTTTCTTGGAGCTGTAGTTCATCCATGCTGGCCCATAGTTTTGCCATGGGCCCGAGATCACCCCATGACTTTATCTTTGATTTGGTAACAGGGACATGTGGAATGGCTGTGTCCCAATGGTGATATAGATGTTCAAGTCCAGGTGATAGTTGAACCAAAATCATACTGTTGCTTTCAGTATCGCAGTAAAAATCGTGTAGAATGAGTTTTACCTCAATTAATTGATAAAGTTCATCTTCATAATGAGGGTCAGGGTTGATGGTTGGCTTGTACCACATGGTGCAGAAGGCATACTCTGGCCCGTCACAGGCGGGTAAATTGAGGTGCATCTTTTTAATGGTGTGGGTAAGAAGTAGGACATCCATGATAAATCCATAGTAGCTACCCCCCTCAGGGAGTGGCAGAAGAGTGGACGGATTCAGAACCTGACATCTTTGAAGGGTAACATTGTCAGGTAACAGGAGATGACATTGGAGACGAAGGTGCCTGGCAGGGGTGACATGTTTGAGTTGGACCTGGTTAAGTATGGCAGAAATATCATGAGGTGCCAAAACAGTCAGAGGGTGGCCAAGAACCAGGTCCCCAGTGCGGTTGATGAGTTCCTGAGCGGCAAAAACAGCTCGGAGGCAAGAGGGGGTTCCTCTAGCCACAATGTCCAGTTGGCAAGAGAAGAAGCCAATAGGCCTTTGGCGGCCGCCAGGTCCATGGGCTTGAGTAAGGACTCCTGTAGCGTGGCCTTGTCTTTCAGACACAAATAATTTGAATGGTTTGGTGTAGTCTGGCAAGCCAAGGGCGGGAGCAGAGGCAATAGCACGTTGGAGAGTGCAGAAGTTGTCATGTGCTTCTGAGGACAGACAGAACGGGTCTGATTTAAGAGCATCGTACAAAGGTTGCATGAGTAGAGAGGCCTCTGGGATCCACGCTCGGCAGTAAGAAATGAGGCCTAGAAATCGTGGAGGGATTTAGGAGTTTTTGGAGGCGGAATGGCCAGAACCGCTCCGACACGATCACGGGTGAGGTGTCTGGTGCCATGGGACAGGCAATGGCCTAGAAAGATTACTGTGGCCTGGCAAAATTGAAGTTTGACAAGAGATGCCTTACACCCCTGATCTGCAAGATAACAAAGGAGGTCCAGAGAACATTTTCCTGTCGTGGGTATGTCATCTCCAAGTAAAATGGGAAGGGAACAAAGAACTGTAGTGTCTTTTCGTGACAAAGGTGTATTTAATTGAACCTGGCCGTCTGCAGTGAGGGTGATGGATGCTTGGAGGCGGGATAGGACATCAGCACCCAAGAGGTTAATGGGACATGTGGAGGAGACAACAAACCGGGAAAGGATATCAGAATCCACATGGAGGAGTTTAGTGAGTGGGTTACTGCGGGAAGTACCATCAACACCAACACAAGAGACATCGGTGTCAGACAGGAACGATGAGTCAGGCAGGTCTTGCTCTCTAAGAACACTGCGGGCTGCACCTGTGTCAACCAGGAAAGTAGTGGGATGACCCTCAACGGGTAGAACTACTGTGGCTAGTGGCCCTCCCCCATCCCCTGTAGACACGTGGCAGGGGCATTAAGCATCAGCGGGTTTGCTCTCCTCTGTATGGGCTGTGTTACTGACTCTAACCCCTTTCTATGTCATTAGCCATAGCTTTTTGCAGTCTGAACATGTCTATCATTATAAATAATGGTTAATAGTAAGTGAAGTAAAGTTCCTATATGTCTTTAGATAAAACATTAACTATTGCGGTACTATCATTTATATTAATTAGGCCATAACAATTATACCACCCTGTAACTAAAATGAATAACCAGTAGTGGCTGGGTTAATAAAACATGTCACTAATCCTTCTAATGCTAAACCATCATTTAACGTAAAGGATGTTACTGTAAACATACGATCTGTAACTAGCAAGATTCGATTAAGTAAAGATACAATGTTTAAAATAACTTGCATTATTTGGCTATTTCCCTTGTTGCAAGATTAATCTGGATAATCAGCTGTTATGCTCTTATATTCATGTCCAACAGATCTCATTTGTAGGTCACACCACAGTTGCAAATGACATTTTAGCAACCTTTTTTTTTTATTTTTATTTTTTTGTTATCATGGACACATTTCTGATACAGGGAAACAAATGGCATGATTGTTTTAGTAATTATAAAGTTTCTGTTCATAATATGTAGAGTGTAAGGAAAACAACATGTCTCTAAATAGGACGAGCATAATAGGGGTAGGCCTCATGATGGAGGCAGCCATGACAGGGGCGGGGAAGGAAATGACAGCAAGGGAGGAAGTGAGAGGGGTGACGTCCATGATATGTGTGGGAAAGGAAGACAGGAGGTGTGGGCATGGTAAGGGCGGAAGTGACGTCACTTTAGAAGCAACCGTGACTGTAGATAGGTCACGGGACTGGCAGAGTCAACCTCCTTCTCTACTAGGCGCCATCTTTAGGGTCGTGGCTGACGCACTTTCAACAATACACTATATTATAACTAATAAAATAAGTCAGAGAAGCAACATTCCGTTCTGCAAAATGAAATACTAAACTATGAACAGACCTGGCAGGTTAAATAAGACAGTTGAGAACATTATGCATTTAACAGCCCATACAGCTGTCTCTAGAAACATGTACTTTAAAATAACATGATGCAAAATAAACTCACGGAATTCAACCAATTTCCCTTATCATCCTCCAACCATTAATTACTTTCCTCTTCACATACTAACTTAACAACTTCGCATATTCCCTCTATTCTTGTATCAGATTCACTTACCTAACCTCCGTAATCAACACTGAGCTACATCCCCGACTCGATGTCTTATACACCAGTCTTGGAGAGAATACTTTGCACCGCGAAAGAAAATACAGCGCCTCAGAAAGGTAGAATGCATTCTTGTGAGCGAGTCTCCCCCACAATCTTCACTGCCTTATCACAAAACACAATATATATATATATATATATATATATATATATATATATATATATATATATAGCACTGCGGAATCTGTTGGCGCCATGCAAATGGCAATAATAATAATAATAATATTACACAATTAGAATATTTTCCAGCAAAAATCCCGTCTCTAACTCTTATCAGTAGCTCCGAAATGCAGGCATGTCTCTCCTCCCCCCCCAAGGGGGGGGGGGGAGAAAGTGAGACAGAGTGCAAAAAGGGGAGAGAGAGAAACTGCAGGCATGAAGGTTAACCATGTGAGCGCCGTAAAGTAACAAGACAGAAGGACAGAGACTTATACGTTTGGAAACCAGAAATCTTTGACGGGAGAAACGGACTGGAGGTGCAGGAAGCTGCAGAGAGAGGATGAGGGTGACGAGATCTGTAGGACTGATGGGGGGGAGAATAGGGATCCATCAGCATTCAAGACTGGGCAAACGGGCGGTGGTAGGGTGGGACCAGGGGTGGGGACCATGGTCAGCTACATTTCGGTCATTGCTGACGCGATGTTGGGAGTGGTCACGTCCTGGGCACCATCATAGGGTGCATTCAGGACTGGGCAAACAGGGGCGGTGGTAGGGTGGGGACCAGGGGTGGGGACCATGGTCAGCTACATTTCGGTCATTGCTGACACGATGTTGGGAGTGGTCACCTCCTGGGCGCCATCATAGGGCGCTGGCTGGGAGGACTTCCCAGTAACACAATTATTATAATACACAAACAATCTTAAACCTTTGTGATCAATTTCTTCCTCAACCTATACCTTTTGCTGAATAGTTCTTGCTACTCGGTACCAGGCTTCTGCTGTATGAACCAAATCGTGGTCCGACAGCTTCCCTTTCTTCTCTGTCAGTAACTTACGCCAGCTCTCTGGCTGCAATCTGCCGCACGGAGGTACGGTAATTCCACATACTTTAGCAATCTACCTCACTTTCTTAACCATCTCTTCTCCTTCTCTGTCTTCCACTAGATCACATGCTAACCAACCCTTACTGGGTTTATCTAACTTCTGTCCCATCCTCCCTATATAAGGCGTCCCAGATATAGAGAAAGAGAGAAAAGAAGGTCTACAGTGCTCGACTGCTACGTAAGAGTGGGTTCCTACGTACGTCTTCCCAAAACGTAGACTAGTCACTAATTCCGCCTACCCGAGGTAGCCGCGGAATTGGAGCGTGGCGAGAAGTGTGTGACCAATCACTTCTCTCAACAAAGAGAAATAAGAGGGGAAAGTGTAAATAACACAGAGAGTAAGATAAGATTAAGCACAGGAATCTGTGTGACAGGCAATTAAGACAACATTTCAAATAAAATACAGTGCATGCATCACAGTTCAAATCCCTTTCCTTTACTCGTGTGGCCTCAGCCACCTCCCTCAACCTCGTAGTGTCCCTGTTGCAGACCCACCCGCAAGTCTCACTACCGCACGGTGATGGAAACAGCCATGCCTCCCCGAATCCAATCCCACCACAAACTAACAGTGTCCGTATCCGCGGGCACTGAGAGGTTAACAGAACACTACCAGCGTCAGCGCTCGAGGCTGAAGTGTCTCACCCTCTGCAAGCAGAGTAACGTGCACAATGAGGCTAGCCAGGCCCTCAAAGTGACACCCCGGACCTGAGAAAGTAGTGAGTCCACACAGACTTCCACCAGGTCCCCTCCCCTCTTTCCTTTACCGCTAGAGCCACCTAGCACCTAAAAGGGGTAAACAGGCACTCACACTCCCCGGGGACTAAGCTAAACACAAACCAATACAAACACACCCAGGCAACAGATAGTCAACATGCAGGTAAACTATGTATCATTAACAATATAAAGACTCTGGGCAAGTTATTACCTGACTTTGATGTACTCGGCAGCAGTCACAGACACTGGGACAGGTCAATCACAGGGGTAGGAACATACCGGCTAGGTGCTGCAGCAGTCTCCACCGTGTACTCAGAGGTGATCAGGCTCTTTTCCTTCCCCCAGGATTCACCCCCCCCGCGTCTTCTTGGACGGCTGCCCGGGCAGGACATAACCCAGAGCCCCACGTTGGGCGCCAAATTGTAGTAGATTATTTTCTGCAAACCAATTAGTTTGAATGACTATCTGTTCCTGTCCAAATTAAAGATAATAAAGTTGCGTGCACGCAGAAGTAAATTCACACTGAG